CACCTGTATTTCCAGAGCTTTCTAGTTCATATCCAGTAATTTAGCAAGGTCCTAAGCAACTTAGTGAAACTTTAAGCAACTTAGTGAGGTCCTGTCTCAAAATCAATAATAAAAAGGACTGGGGAAGGAAAAAAAAAAGAAAGAAAGAAAATGCCGGGCACAGTGGAGCATGCCTGTAATTCCAGCAACTTGGGAGATTGAGGCAGGAAGTTCATGAGTTCAAACCCAGCCTTAGCAACTTAGAGAGGCCCTATGCAACTCTGCAAGACCATCTCTAATAAGAATAGATTTTTAAAGAAAGGGCTGAGGATGTGGCTCAGTGGTCAACCTCCCCTGCATTCAATCCCTGGTATCAAAAAATAAAAAAAGTTTCTCAAGTGAAAGTAGTGCTACTACTGCACAATCAGCATTGTGTTGAACATAAGCCTAGTCTAGTCCTATTTTAAGTGCCCCTTAGAGGTTTCTCTACAGAAACACCATCAGTCAATCTGAACCCAGTCTACATCTCAGTCTAATCTCACACCTTCTTTTCCTTACTTTATTCCAGCCCTATTAGACCTCAGACAGTTCTTTCAACATAAAAAGGTTTTGTCTGTAGTGTCTTTGCACTGCTATGGCTGCTAAATCTTGGTTCTTTCCCACTCTTCAAGGCCACCCGAATCTCTGCATCCCTCAGAATTACCTCAAATGTCCCTTCCTTAAATAGATTCTTCCAAACAACCTCCTGAAAAGTAAGCTCTTGCTCCTCATCCCCTCTCAGCTTCCAGCATTCTTCCTTTTAGGACTTATCATAATTTGTGATGAAAATATTTAATTTGCATGTTTTCTGCTCCACATATGCTCTAGGAATATAATCTCCATGAGACAAGAATCATACTAGCCTTTTTATATTATGAGACCCAACACAGAGCAATCTCACAATAACCTTATTCAATGAAGGAAATGGAAAAAATGGGAAAACGGATAGAAAAAAAGGAAAGATCAGGGAAGGGTGGGTATTTAGACATATCTGTGACCTGAATTTGTCTGTTGTGAACATTTAATAAAGAGATAATGTGGGGAAAAACATAATCACTTCTAGTTGTGCCTGCACACAGTCTTCACAGATTAGTGACTCTCTCCAATCAAAAATATTTTTAATACAGAAAGTTTAAACCAACCAGAGATCTAGAAAAATAATTGCCTTCTCTAACCAAAATGTAATCCATAGGTGCTGAAGAAATGGAGTTCACACAGAGATCATGCTCCTGTGTCAAAGTCCTCTGCCTCACAGCCTCTCTCAACCCAACCCCCACCTTTTCATTCAAAGCAGAAAATATCTTTCCTTTTAATTGTCCCTATAGTTCTCTTAATTTTCTAATTTGGTGGCAAATGTCCTCTTGCTGGCCTGGGAACAGCTGAGCAGCAGCTGGAGAGTCTCAATGTCATGCAACCTCCAGTAATCAGGAATGGGCAATGGAAGGTCAGAATAAAAATGGACAAAACATTGCAATTCCACCTCCCCAAATAGTGGTGTTGGCCTCAGACAAGTCACTAGTAAGGCCTCAGTCTGCCAGTCTTCTCAGCTTTGTCACTCACCAGCTGTATAGCTTTAGGAAAGTTACTTAGCCGCTCTGTTCTTTAGTTCCCTCAGGTTTAGAAGGGACATAGTAGCCTCTTCATAGGGTTGTTAGTGATGGAGCCAATGAAATTATTGCGTAGAACTAAAACAGTCAGTGGCAGAGTAAACCCAAGGTATTTTTGCCATGATTTTTTCTGTGTGCATGTATGTGTATAAAATGTCATGAACTAATGAAAGAAAATTTCACACATGAACAAACTATTGTTCAATGAGCTCAATTTAATAATTAAGTTAAACATATTGGAGTTTGAATCCTATCTGAGAAAGCTTGTCTTCTTGAATTTCCCATTTGTCTTTTTTTTTTTTTTTTTTAAGTTAAAAACAGTATTGTGAAAGGAGAATGGAAAACCGAGTTACCAAATCCCGAAAGAGAAAAGTCTTGATCCCTGAAATCCAGGATAAGCTTAGGAACTTCGCTCCATTGCAATCTTTGTCAGGTGGGACATGACTGTGCAAGACAAAGTGACAGGAAAACGAGGGAAGAAAATGAGCCCAGAAGAGCACCTGTGGGAAGCCATCCAGGAAAGGTCAGGTGAGAGAGAAATCTCTGGAAAAACTGTGAGGAATTCGGAAAAATAAATGTAACTAGGACACTTAGTCTTAAACACTTCCCATGTGCCAGGGAATTCATTTGATACTGTCACCCACCAGTAGGAAAGAGGTACCTGGATAATCCCCATTTTATTTGTAAGGAAATGAGGCTGAGAGAGGTATGTTGTTTGCCCAATGATCATATAACTTTCAAAGAAGCTCTTTATGTAAAGCCTCCATTCAAGGGATGGGTTGGCAGACGCAGGATTCACTTACAATTGGAAGAGGGAATAATAAGGGCAGGAATGAGATCCAAGTTCATGTGGATTTATGATGTTATTGAGGTTTTTAAATTTCCAAAAGCTCTTGAATCATCTTTGAAAATATTTCTTCAACTCTAATCTCTGTTCCATCTACCCCAACAAAGAAATAATCTGACTGTACTAAAAAATAAGTCACTAAAAGATATGCATCAATGGGTTCTTTTGTTTGGATGAAAAGCAGCCTTAAGCTTAAGCATATGTAGCTCTTCTACTGAAGCTATACATGTACAGGTACAGAGATCTATAAGCATATGGATATATAAATTTTGTTGTTGTTGTTATTCATCCCTTCTGGTCCCTTCTCTCTCCTTTGCCCCAATAACCTATATACTTCTAGCAATAATAAAGAAAGACATTAAAATTGTAGAAAAAAATAATACAGACATTTAGGGGCTGTTTGGAGAAGCTCATTCCACAGACACCTTATAAAACCCTTGCTTTCTTGGTTTGTAACGGAGAAAATTATTCCCTAACCATCATTCACCCAACTCCTCTTGCAAGTGCAAATCCAATACAATTCTTCAGTGGGACACAGTAAAAAGAAAACGCAAAAGCATTTGAAAAAGCTCACCCATTTAGATTTAATTACATACATAACTGGTGTCCTTCCAAGTGTGAAAACGTTGTAACCCATAAGTCAAATAATAAAATGCCCTCTGAGCAGACTAGATTCATATAGAAGATGCATGAGAAATTCAGATTCACCGAATTGCTTCATATATTTGCACCCAGAGTAGCACTAAACATGAAGCAAATGCCTGTTCTTTGAATCTTGTCTTCTTTTTTGAACACATAGGTCAGTCATTTTCCCTCGAAGGGTGTTCTTGGGCAATGACTTTGAAGGGAAGAGATTTAAATCTTAAAAATATCTTTCTGTGTTTAAAGGATCACTAGTTCTGTGCTTGTGTATTAGATTTTTAAGGAATAACTTATTTGTCTAGTACTGTTACTTACATGCCTAATTGATAACTGCAAAATGAAGCTTAATTCAGTAGAAAGCTTATTTCATGTTAAAGCTAAATACACACAGGAAGATTTGCAAAGTCAAATTCAATAAAGGGTGAGGGAGCATCCACACTACTAACATATCTTCTGGGGTTTACTTTCATAGAAAAATATATCTTTCTAACAATTGCAGTGATATAATCTAATCTGCCAATAATTTTGATCTTCACAGCATGTATTTTTAAAAGCACCTAGTTTGAATTGAAATGTCTGTGAATGACAAACGTGGAAGAAGAAAGTCAAGAGTCTTGTGATCTTCTGGACCTACCTTGGCCAAAGGTAAATTGTCAGAGATTATGGACTCACCAAATTTTTCGTGTTCCCATTTGCAATAAAATTAAATGGAAAAGTATGTTCCCTCTAATAAACCCTTATGAAATAATGCTTTCATGTACTTCATAGCTGCAAGTCAACCCTGTTAAAGGCACAGTCTCATTTCTGCTGACATTTTCCTAAGGAAAAGAGCCAATCATCTGAGCAGCTTCCTCATTTGCTGTGCTTATGAAAATGAAAATGCAACAGACCTCAGGACAGCAAAACCATCCACAGTCACGAGTAAAGAGTCAATATGTAATAGTGGGGCTCCATCAAGTTTAAGGCTTTTGGTTTTTTGCTGGTTAATTCACAAAGCAAAATGACTATCCTCTGAGTTGCAATAGTTCATTTCATACCTGACTTTCTGCATCAGACCAGAAAGCTAACTGTAAGTGATTTTGGTTAGACTGCTTTGTTTGTTTGTTTCTTTGTTTGGAGGCCTAGGATCTGACAGGGAAGCTGGCTTGTAACCGTGAAATAGGCAAAGTTCAGAGTTACTCTCAGAACAACTTCAGCAGGATCCATTTCCTAGTTCTCTGTGGCTGTGGATTTTGAAGTCTGGGTCTGGCTCCTGCTCTTGTTTCTCTAAATATTTATCAGTTAACAATGACACATCTGCTCCAATAACAACAAACTTGGTTGGAGAAATAAATAAGCATGCTTTCTTTCCCCAAATATGCAAAATAATACAATTCCATTTGAAGGTTTTTGAAACAGCTTTCAGCCAAGTATCAGAATTAAGTTCTCTGATTTAACACTCATTTTATTAAACATATAGAAAAGTTATATTATTAAAGCATTCTGTGTTTCTCCTTTAAAAATATATTTTCCACTTGTTTGACTCCTTCTAGTAAATTCATTTAGTGAATATTTGCCTTCTTTATTACACATGCCAGCTGTTCTAAAGTTAATAGAACTGCTTACTAAAGTCCACTGAATTATGGTGCAAGAACCTTTCATACAACAGAGAATTCCTTTCACTTGGAAAGATTTTAAGAAATGAAATTTTGGAAAGTTGTCCGATCTGATTTAGAATCCACCATTTGATCAGGGCACTAAACCCAGACCTGCATTTGGCAAGCCTTTTATTCTTGTATTTGCAAAAGGCTCTTGAACATAAGTTTACTTAAATTGACCTTTTATGCTTTAAATACATGTACTTTTTACAGACCCGAGGCAAAGCAGCACATACAAGTCGTACTAACCTTAGTATATTGAATCTTCAAATTGGTGAGTGGGACAGGTAACTCTGGCACTGCTGAGGACAACATTTCTGGTTCGGCTCCTGGAACACAGGTGACAGGCTCAGCAATTTGGTTCTGATAGAGCACTTGGCTTTATTTGTTCCTTTTTATCTGCACGGGGCTAAGGTTTATTTGCATATTGGGATACGATTGGATGAACAGACTGGGAGCAAAAAAGAAAGGACACTACTTATTTGTAACACCTAGGGCAGGAAGCCTTCGACTTTAGACTTAAATCCTTAAGAAACCAGCAGTCCAGCACCAAAGTTGCATCTGGAGACAGTGCACTATTTGCAGATGAATTAATTTACAAAGCCGAAACCTGTGATAAGGGTTTGCGGAGCAGCTGCTCTGGCCACTAAAGCCAGTTATTATTTTTTTTGGCTTTTGGTGCTTTTTATGCTACTATGTAACTTTCCGTTCTCTGACAGACTGGGAATCGGAGAATTTGAGAATTCTCAAATTGAAAAAATGTCTCTAAAAGGGCACTTGTTCTCAGGAGAAGCTGGGAAAAAGAGGACCCTAGCCAGGTACCTTCAGGACAAGGCTGTCAGCACCCCATCTCCCAGAAATCAGGGTGCTGTTGGGGAAAGAAAACCCTCTGTCTAGACCCTACCCTAACCTGACTTTTAAAAGAAAAATCAATCAGATATATTTTCAGTGCCTCATAGGAGGGTAAGTAGATCTCAGAATTTCTGTGATTTCAGAAAAGTCAGCAGGACCTTTAGGGAATTCAGAGGACACTGTCATACACAATCACCACAATTAGCAATATAGCAGTACCATCTGTAAAACTTCATGTAAAACTCAAGTGACCTAACTGAGTTGACAATACAGGTCTGTAGTCCCAGCCACTCAGGAGGCTGAGTCAGAAGGACCACAAGTCCAAGGGCAGCTTGAACAACTTACAAAGACCTGCCTCAACATTTTTTTTTAAAAATGGGAATGAGAGGTGGTGCTGTGGATGTAGCTTAGTGGTACAGCACCCCTCATTCAATCCCCAGTACCACAAAAATAAATGAATGAATAAATAAATAAATAATGAAACTAAGGTAACCTCTGGTTTTAGGTGTTTATATCAACCAGTCATTGCTACATGCAATTGATAAAAAAAGAATTTCAACAGTACTCCCAAATAGTTTAAGTTCTTAGTGTTTCAAGCTGGGAACTTTCAAAAAGTACAATTTTTAACTGCAGGACTCCCATTTTAAGTACAATGCTTTATTGTACTGAAGCTTCAGAAAAAAAGTTAAAACAAGAACAAGATAAAATTCTTTGGATGCTCTGATTATTAAGAATTTATAATAACCATTTCTTTCTAGTGAAATTGTCTACTCGCCTGAATATGAGATTTAGATAAGGAAATTAAGTTATTAAATAGTTTTTCCAAACCTGGAGCCTTAGTTTCTCTCCATCCTCATTTGGTATCCTCACTTTACAGACAGAGGGAGGATAATTACCTTGATTATGGTCACAGATATAATAAGTACAGGACAAAATTTCGTTTCAAGCCAGTGTGACTCCAAAACTAGAGCTCTTATTTCTACCGTATTTCACCGAATAATCGTCTCCACCATATTAACCTATGTTCACGAGTATTCCAGGCATCAGAATCTTGTACAAAAGACAGTTTAGTAATAAATAGTTTTTTAAAGTAACACCAGCATAAGTTTTTAAAAAGCTTCACACAATGGTCATCATCTACTTTTTTGGCAAAGAAATTTTTAAAAATTAGCATAAAGTGTGACAATCTTGCAGTGAAATATGGTATCTCTTCTCCCTCCCCTCTTCTCTGTAAGAGGGCTCCCAGAGAGGTTCCAGAATGAGCTGGTTTGGTTCTCCAGATGAATGTCACCCTCTTAGACACCTAGTCTTTATTCATCTAAGGCAAACTTATGTAAAGAAGTATTTTCAGCTCTTTGGGCCATTTTCTATTGTAACTTACTTGGCTCAAAAGACACTATAGATAATAGGTCATAAGTGTAGGTGTTTTTAAATAAATTTTATTTGTAAAAACAAGAAATGGAACAATTTGGGAAATCAGCAGGTCCCTAGATTCTAAGCCAATACCATTCTGAAGTCATTGTCTACCTTGCCCATCTTGCTTAAAGACCACATAGAAATTTCTGTGTTCTTTTCAACTTTTCTCTCTCAATTCTCCTCCCACCTGTTTTTTTTTAAGTTGAATTGTTTTGTCTTTCATAAATGTGTTTTGAATTAAATGCACAATTACACAACAGCTGTTACATAATATGCAGAGTGGTACTCCGCCAAGCCCAAACAGCTGTGTTTTGCCACTTTCTTCTGCTCCCAGTTCACAGTTGTTTGTGGATTCAAACACTGGTTTATTTGATGTCCAGGCAGTGAAAGCACAGAGCTTCATGACACACTTGGCGTGTCATCTCATTCTTTGGATGAGCACATCCTTAATTGTACTTGGTTGGGTAGTTACATAAGAAAGGTCTAAGTCAGAAGTTACTGAAGGGAGGTAGAAGCCCTAGCTTTGGAGACAGGTTACTATGCCTGCCGACTTAATTTCAACACATATTTACTAAGCATCATTTTATTCATCAGACATTCTTCAACTTTAAACTCACTTGAAGAGCAGATCTTTCCCGCACACAAACTACAATGTCTGAGATCTGTATTTCTGTCTTATGGAGTACCAGAGCTTATTTTGTAGAAGAGTATATTCCTGGGAATGTTTATATGGGTGAAAGATTTTTTCTTCTCTTTCCTTTCCTTATAGAGGGAAAAATGGCTTTGGTGAGAACAAAGTGGCCACAGAGGCACATTTTAAGGCTGGACCCAGGGCTTTGTATTTTATTGTGTGCTAGGTAGAGAGGGGTTGGTACTTCAACTTGGCATTCTCGACAAAGGATATTAATCTTTTCTTTCATAGGGACAAGCTAATTCTTTCTTTCTCTCCCTCTCTCTCTCTCTCTCTCTCTCTCTCTCTCTCTCTCTCTCTCTCACACACACACACACACACACACACACAGATAAATAAGTAATATAGGGTAATAGTTCATTCATTTTTTTGCATGTGACTTTTTCCAACTCTTTGTGAATGCTGTTATTATACCAAAAACAAAAACAAAAACAAAAAAGACCATGACTTCCCAATGAAACCACTGAAACCACTCTCTCATTTACAGGAAGCCTCCTTTCAGACCTCAGACACTGACAAGATGGAAGGATTCTAATCTCCTACCCACTTGAGTAACCAAAATTTTTGAAAATGCAAATATGTTGACAAACCTTAAGTGGATGGTAAAACAAAAATACCTTCTGCAATGAACTGCATGTTTGCATTTCCTCAAGATGCATAGGCTGAAATCTACATTGACGGTATTAGGAAGTGGGGCCTTTGGGATGTAATTAAGTCATGAGGTAAAGCCCTCATGAATGGAATTAGCAACCTTTTAGAAGAGGCCCTAGAAAAGTCTCCTGCCAATTTTTGCCATGTGAAGACACAAGAAATGCAACCCAAAGGAGGCCCTCACAGAACCTGACCCTGCTGGTGCTCTGATGTTGGGCTTCTAGCCCCCAGAACTGTGAGAAATAAATTTCTGCTGTTTCTAAGCCATCTAGTCTCTGGATATTTTTGTTATAGCAGCCTGAAAGGACTAAGACAGCTTCTTTGCATTTTTGAATTTCAAAATCCTAGATTGAAGCTGACTTTCTCTTGCTCAGCCATGTGCCCCATTCCTGGGCTCCTTACCTTAAGCATGGGTGGATGGGTCAGCCTTTGGTTAATTTGACAATAGATCTATCCCTATATTATTTGATGACTATAATTTTATCAAATATCACATTGTTCTTAGTCCTATTTAGGTTTTAATACTGACACTTGGGTTTTAATATTTTTGAAAAAATAGACCTTGTTTGTGGTGAGAAAATCTGCTTGACTGGCAAGTTGGTGTTAAAAAAAAGGAATTTGAGTAAGTGAACAGATGGGTTGGTGGGCTCCTGTTCATCTTCCCTTCTTCTCTACTTAGCAAAATTTTCTCACCTCTGATTTCTTCTGCTCCTCAGATATCCTATCATTGTTTTTCTCTTCATCCCATGTTACTGAGGGTAGATGCCTTTTACCTTATATAATCAGAACACTCACAGATTAGTAAAGTCTCTAAAAGAAACAGCAGATTAAATCTTCCATACAAGGATTGTTTCAGTTTAAGTAGGTTTTGCTAAACCTTATAAACCAAGGCTATCTCTTGAAACAGGGTGTGCTCAGAATTTGAGATAATCTTGCATAAATAGCAATTAGTGTTTTTTTCTACAGTTTTCTCTTTGTTTCCTTAAAGCAGAAGGAGAGATTAAAGACACTAAAAACATGAATGTGGCGATTTGAATGTAGACTATTTTAAGATGTTAGTAATTTTTTCATTTTTTTACAGTTGTCTTGTGCACAGATTATGCAACATATTTATCAATTTGACCATTGAATGTTTGCATTCAGTGGTTTTCATAAAAAGCTCCCCTTTACCCCAATAAATCAATAAATAACACTAATTTAATTATGTAATTCAAATAGTAGTTCAAATGAATAGCCAGCTTCTAGAGCAAAGAGATTTAACTATTGTTCCCTACAGGGAGCATTCACAGACATGAGTGGCAATTATAATGATTTTTGCTTTTTATTTATTTTTTGTTTATTTAAAATTTGCTTCTTGAATCAAATAGACTGTCTATAGAAAATTGCAAGATCATTAAGTGCAAAACTCAATAGTTATATATATGTATATTAAAAACACTTTAATATATTAACATATATTTTAGTGTGTGTACGTGTGTGTATGTGTGTATAGACTCACACACATTAACACACTAGGCAAGTGTTGTACCACTGATCTATATCTCCATCCTTGTATTATTTTGTTAATTACAAACAGTTTACAAACTCATATGTTGTGTATATGGATGCCAAGAGATTGTGTTTCTCACTTTGTATCTGACCAAAGTCTGCAACTTGACTTTGACCCCAATCTTATCCTTTGGAAAGCTAAATATATTACTGAATGAGGCCATTTTGCCT